ATAGACAGTTGTTTGCGCGCGCACACGAGCCCGCCTAGTGGCAAGCAAAGTTCGGATGCCTCGAATTCTTGGCAGGGAGCAGTGGACCTTACTAATGGTCAATGTTACGAGCACTCGCGCCGAGAATCTGGCGATAGGAGTTTTTGGGTGAAACCAGTGAGAGAATTATTCGCAATGGAAAACAACAATGACAAACAGATTCTTAGAGGACTGTTTATAATTTCACTGTATTTGGTATCAAACTTTCATTTGTGAGAATTGACTATTTTCAGGTTATTATTTTATAATAAATGTGTTCAGTTGGTTCTAGAATTTTTTTGATTCAGTAGATCTTTTAGAATATTTATTATAATTTACAATCATCATGCGCAAGAGGTACATATTCCTGGCTTTTAAAATTATTTTTCGATACATCGAGATCATTATCGTCGTCTATCCCAAGCTAAGTTTCATATTTTTTGTGACACCAAACATTAGGACACGACAGGACAAAACATCGATGTCGGTTTCAAAGGTACGACCACTAGTGTGCAACGTGCGGCGTAGCTAATAACAGTATGCTGAAGGTATTCCAAGAGAAATTTAACTTTTATTACATGAATGAAACTGAAACCAGCAGACTGATAAAATGAACTTAAAATTATTCAAATAATTTTCCTTTTCATTATAATTATTAAAAATTTCTTACGTAATTTCACAGTTCTAATTTAAGACACAGTAGCAATTCCATTCGTGAATTTACTTTTAATGAATTAGTTAAACAGCGATCCGGGTTATTTACACGTTCGTTGGAAATTTACCGCAGTAATTTATCCGCTAAGCCGGTTTTAAATAATTTTGCCTTTTGCAAGGACAATCAAAATTAATGGGCCAGTGTTGCCATGCGTGGCGGGAACTCGCCTAGCTTGTACATATTGTGTTTTAAAATTATGAACACGTATACATAGTACATTCATAAGGCTGGAATCATGTGTCGCTCTAATTATATGAGTATTTCATGCTCATAATTTTTTCAGGGTCATAAATGCTCGCAGTTGATCGTGAAGAAACTGTTATGAAAAGAAAAACAGAGTTCAGAATTTTAATACCTGAATTGTATAAAAAAAAATCGGAAGCAAAGGACATATAAGTCAATTAAGGAATAAATTTTATGTGAACCGAAGGGGCATCCTTCTGGTATTAAATTTTATTTACTATTGATTCAAGTCTGTCGATTGAAAGTTAACTGAAAACAATTCATCAACTCTACATTCTTATATCAGAATGTCGTACTCCAAGTTCAAAAGAAACGATGCACCATTAAAAACAAAATAAATCTGTGTGTCTTGTTAAAAAATAGTAGTAATTGCGTTTAAAAATCAAAACAAAAGAATGTGAAGTGTGTTAGAGACGAGGTATTCGATTTGAATAACACGTAGAGCGTGATATGTGGCAGCGGCGACAGCTGTGATGAAACGCAACTCAACCATTGTTTACTTCCTGGCAACTTTCCATGGTTCTACTTCTACTACCGATATTATTCAATGTGATAAGATTATGAATATACAACAATATAGCTAGCATTGTTATGGAAGTTGTACATAGTTGCTTCATAGGTTGCTTCTGCAATGCGACAAAAGGGTTGGTTACATCAACATCATTATTGGTATTATGATTCTTCGTTTCGTAAGCTCCCATAATGTAGGGTTTTCATGTTGTATTAACTGTTAGGTAATAATACACACATCGAAGAAGTCTAAGCAACAAGCATCATTTACGCAAACTGCAAATTTTATCAGTTGATATCTTATGTTATCGTTATGAAATGTATAGTTTATTCAAAAGTTTTCTTGCTATAGTCACTAATAAATCAAATTGATTTTCATAAACAAAAGAATACAAGTATTGAAATTATTAAAAATCGGGCAATAGTTCGAAAAAGTTCATGGTGCTTAGACTCTTTTGATGAGTATATTAGTATCTATGTGATTCTACGCCTATAAGCTTAGCCACTGTCTTTAACACAATTAGGCTTAAGAGAAGTAAGTAAGAGACTTACTTAATTACTACAAATTTTAACAACGATTCTGAAAAGCTGTTTTTATTTCAGATATTTTAACGAGATTACGTGAATTAAGGGAGAATCTTAATAATTATCTTATTGTCTGAGTTAACTTAAGAATTCTCGAAAAGTTCTAATGAATTGGACAGATAGGGAGTAATCAAATACAACGGGGTTCTGAGATTGTTGTTGCCTGCCAGTCTTTTATTGTTCAATGTCGACGATTTTAAAGGTAATTGTTAGGGGTGAACTTGGATGTTGTTGTTACTAACTGAGTGGTCTTTATTTTTTTTCGATAACGCGGCCTAAGATGTTGGACACTATTGTAGATAGTGTATTAAAGCTAATGAAACTGTAGTAGCAGATGATAAGCCAAAATATATATTCGCAAGAGGAAGTCATAGTCGGAAAAACTATATACAGAATCGTGGAAACAAAATAATACCGCGATACAGGATGTTCATTATGTTTACTTATATTATGTTTATTTTCGGTTGAACAGATGGTTTTATGAATAAAATAAATTTTGGGACGGTAAAGCATCGAGGGTGCAACAGCCGCCATGAATGTTTAACAGAATAAATTTATCATGAGAAAACGACACCTATTTCCTTCACGCTGTCTCGACTCGACTAATTAAGATACCTACCGATTTGTTGAAAATGGTGATTTCTATATTTTAGTTTTCTTTTAATTGAACTTAACAAGAGAAACTAAAAATATCTCCTATTTGAGTTATATATAATATACTTTACATTTATTTCAAGCATGAAAAGACTTGAAATGTAGTTAAATGATGAACTTATGAAGATGTCTCTATATCAAAGCATAGCTCTTGATGTTTATTGAGTTATTTTGCTTAGATGAAAATAACATAAATACAGTTGTTGTTACTTTTACCTTCTTGAATGTTACGTCGTAATCTATTATGTAAGGATTCAATTTACTACGAAGTCATGGAACTAATACTTACTTTCAACGGTGTTCGTTAAAAAGTTCCTTTTTGACATTGGAAAAATTGCGTATCGTATTAACTTTCAAACAACAACAACATCGTGCTTACGCCAATATTTACAAAACATATAATTCAAAGAAAGTATTACAGTCAATATGATTTGTAAAGTTAAATAATAATACAATGATTTGACTATTCAGAAATATAAAATATTCCATTAGGAATATTATTTTTTTCTAGTAAAAGAATTTATAGATATAAACATTCCTCAAAATGCGTGTCGGGTAACCAGTGGAGGAGTATTGTCTATGGTTTGAGTGGGTAGGGCTCTCATTTCGCCGAGTCCTGAGCTGGACGGAATGAGCGGAGAGGAGTCTTTATATATCTTCTTTGCAACCCTTGGTGGCGAAGAAGGTATCACGCGTTTCCCTACTGTGAACTAACTATGATGGATCCAACTTTAATAGGTTTACGTTAAGATCTCGATGGTATATTTTTTCACTTTCGCAACCCAAGCAAAGCAGCTTTTTGGTATGGGTGCTAGATCGTTATCTATTAATAGACATACTTAAATACAAATAAATGTAGCTAACAAAATGCATGTGTTCATCATAATAACTTTTACCCTCATCGGGATTGGAACCCGGGGCCGCTGGATTCGAAGTTAGGATCAATAACCGCTAGGCCAAACCATCAGCCAAATGCAAAGGGTTGATTTAAGTGAAGCATGGTACCATAGAAAAACAGTTTTCCATTTTCTATAAAATAGTCTTAACATTTAATAAATGAGTGGGATCTTTCATCTTATTGGCTTTGAGAACACAAAGCCATTGGAACTTGAAGCAAATGCAAACAGCATTCGTATGAGGTTTCTGTGAACACTAATAAAATGGCGAATCGATATTGAAGTCATGGCCTCAAATTGTGACCGTTTGCCGGGCCATCACCATCCTGAAAGTACTATATAATTATTCCTTCGTTGATCTTGTTTCGCTAATGTGAACGATATGTGTGACAGGGAGAAAAAACAGCCCTCTCTGTGGTCCTCTCTGTCAAGGTCTCCCGTTGTCGATTTACGAACCCACGGTAACGGTTTTCCACATTAATTTTACTTTTTAACCGAATCGAGGCTGAATAAATGAAATTACATACCTAGAATTTCTGAGCGTATTTAGTTTCCAATTAATTTCACTAAAAGCATATTTTTTAACAATTATTACAAAGCAAAAGAGTAATTAATTAATGCTAACGGTCAGCATATAGAAAAATAATTTTGTACGGACGCGGCGGGCAAAAGATAGCCTACGGACATGTTATCCTTACTATGCGTGGGTGTAAGATTCGATTTCAAAGAGCTTGCTGCTTCATTCTGTCTGTTGCCAGGAGCGTCTAGAAGGACAGGACTCATTTTACTGTCGATATACTCGTAGTGTAACTTTTATTGATAAAGTTGAATGGTATTTGTTGATAGTTTAGGTACAGTCTGTACCTAAACTATCAACTAGTTTAGAGATGAAAAATGAGAATAACTCTTTAGAATCATTAAAATATGACTACCGTAACTAGAATTAAAACAGGATTTTATCAACTACATTTCGTTTTAAATAAGTACAGAGAGCGGCATTTCTTTTGTCAAAAAATATTTTGCATTTCAGTAAATATCAAAGTATAATTGCAAAGATTTGTAAATAACAATCACGCAAATATTGGTCTGCAGTCTTTACTCGTGAGAGTTTAAAAAAACACTCTAGGAAACTTCTTACGCGTGACAAATATTGATAAATTGATGCGTATAAATCAAAGCTTTCAATACCCAGATATTTCATGAATTTTCCAATTGTGAGTGAAGAAGCTAGCTAGCAGTCGAAGTTCACTTATTTGACTTAGATCTTTGTATCGCTATGCTTATAACTAACCGAATCAGACTTGCATTAAAATCGATGGACCAATCATCAGTTTCTATTTCTTACTGCACGCGTAAACATAAAAGAGATGAAAACTCACCTGACAGTGAAATGCGGCCGGGGCGTCTGCTACAACACAATCTCAAAACCGGTCGGTTTTAGTGAACAAATGTTAAATTATAGTCCAAACACTCCACGTTTGTAAAGATGGAAGTCTCTTCAAGCACTGTGGTTAACAGTAACAGGTGAATGAGTATTAGTTGCGTCGTCACTGGAGCAACGTATGCTGTCTCCGAGCGTCCGAGAGCTACTGGGCGGCGCGCAGCCGTGTAATCCTATATATACGGACTCTTCGCAGCCGCCCGCCCTCTGAGCGCTTTAATTTTAATGCAAAAATATCAGAGGAATTCGGAGCCCAATTTTCGCTGTCACTGTCTCGGCTCCGACACAATGAGAGCGTTGATCTCACATGTGCATCCAATGACTGATGACCAATTCTTTCAATCCGCATCATTTAACTTTCGTCTCCGCCCAATTTTTCTCATACCTTTTACAGATATGTACGTGTCCCTGTTAAAAAGTTAAGTAACGTTTATTAGCGAAATGAGGCTACGTTTGTTCCATTTCTCTTTCAAAGTTTTGATTGCTTTGATTACACGAATAATTCATAAAATAGATCAGCCCAGTACCCCTCTATTGTAGATGTTTGCTTTTTTAGCTCTGTGTATTTTAGCGACCTCTTATAATTTTCGGATCTTCCTAGTAATAATGAGAGATGAGAATATGAGGCTATTGACCTCTCACTGGACTCCAATTTGGGTCGAAGGGAAAATTAACGAGGTGTCAAAAATACTAACGTATGGGGTACCTACCGAATGCTCTATAAGGGTAGTAAACGTAAACATGTTTTCGTAACAAAATAGTTTTTCTGCGTATAAATCGTTTGTTACATTATTTACTAGGTCAGTGAAAAATAATACTATTACAGGAATGACAAATTTCATGTTGTTGTTGAGAATAATGAAAATTCTTCAAACAGTAAAATCTGCGAAATCTGCTGGATTTTATAAAATAAAGAGAAAAATCTTTAATTATGTAGCCAACAACAACCCTACCGTTTGTTGTTGCCGACATAATTGAAGAGATGGATGTTACATAACCAAAGAGTTTCTTATGTTGTTAGCTTTGATTATTTACTCCTATTTTTTTCAGATGACGTGGAAAAAAATACGGGCCAACTGCAAGCAGTTCTTATGTTTTGACTCTCAGTCGTTTTCCGTCACTTACTGCTAAATGAAACGCTGAGCGATACGCACGACAATTACAGAGTTTCATGTTGAAATTATTACTTTGGAATGCCGAGATGTGCGATAAAAGTTTGCGGAAATTATATAGGACGCATAAAAATAAGCACAAGGTCGCTAAGTAACTCATTATTCACCTTAAAAAATAAAACAATATCATCATATTAGTTAAAGAAATTATGAGTCTATCTTGACATTTTCAAAGTGATGTCAGTGTCTCATTACAAAATTCCCCAAAAAAGTAAGTATGGCGTAATCAAAATTTTTACCGATTGCAGCAGTGCGATAGACACAAGTTTTTTTTTTATATCGATATAAATTTAATTGCTTCGAAAACTGGACGGAATGTCAAAAGCTTGTATCGATTTTTGAAAAACTTAAAAGGAGCTTCAGAGTCACGACCCATGGACATATTAATAACTAAGACTGAGAACTTTCACCAAAGCAATGGGATAAATCAGAGATTAGAATAGAAACCTTTAATCCTTTTCTAATAGGACGACCATAACTTTTTTTAAATAAAATTAAAAGTACACAACCTTTAACGTTGATATTGTCACTGTTTTGTGAAAGTTGTGGAGTTCAAAAACCTGTTTCATCTATCCATATCAATCCATACATACTAGGATGATTTTTTTCACCTATCTATCATCTCGTTTCAAAGGACTATTCATAGTGGTTCATAAACCACACCAAATATTAAATCGATTATTATTGGACAAGACAATTTTCAGTAATGTTAGTTTTAATAGTACTCGGTTTTGGTTTTATTCTACGACCATGTTCATACCACATTTAATTGTTAGAACTAATGTAATACATAATAGATAGAAAACAATCGCGTATTCACCCCTGAAATAGATATAATAACTTCTAGGCAACCTAACGGAGTTGGTAGTAGTTTTATACTGCTACATAATTTAAAAATACGTGTGAATTTATTTTTGTCTAACTGCCGAGATATAAACAAAGGGTGGTTTAAACCGTTGGAGGTTGTTAGTTTTTTGTTTTTATAAAGTCCACTTCCAGACTACCTAACGATCCCACAGTAAATAGTCGGTAGGTGGACGTTATAAGAAGAAATCGGGAAGAAGATTTCTTCCAACCAGCAGAAACTACGGTTAGATACTCAGATTATTTTAATAAAATAATAAGTTAAAATAATTGTAGAACAATTTTTACTTCACAGAGGTACGGAGGAGGATGTATTTTATAATATGTCAAATTTTAAAGATAAATAATATTAAACTACTAAATTCAAGACCTTAATCATTATAATATGAAAAACAAGGTCTATGTTATTGTTTGTTTCTATACCATGGCTATTATTTTAGTTAAAATAAATAAAAAATGAGGAGCTCGATGGCGCAGGTGGCTAGCGCGTTCGGCTGCGATCGTTGAAGTTAAGCAACTTTCGCAGTGGTCGGTCATTGGATGGGTGACCAAAAATTTACTATCTCGAGCTCCTCCGTGCTTCGGAAGGCACGTTAAGCCGTTGGTCCCGGCTGCATTTGCAGTCGTTAGCACCCACCAATCCGCACTGGGCCCGCGTGGTGGGTCATGGCCCAATCTCCCTATTCCATCCATAGGGAAGGCCTGTGCCCCAGCAGTGGGGACATTAATAGGCTGATGATGATGATGATGAAATAAAAAATTGTAACAAATATTTTTATCAAATATCTAAGTATAAAGAATAATGCCCACTCTCCATACATTTGAAAACCTGATAATGAAAGTTAATGAATAAATATAAAGTATACTGGAAAGATTACGTATAAATTAAGAAAATAATATCTTGTATTCATTTTTACGATTGAAACGCAGGAAAATTAAAAAAAATAGAATTATTTTTTTAGATTATATTTATTTTTTTGCTCTGACAACACTGAAGGTTCAGATGTTCTTTTGCATTTTAAGCAATTTATTATGTTATTTATTCACGACAAAATACATAAAAAGATCAAGAAATTACATAAATAGATATTTCGATCAAGTTAAATGACAAAATGCAGTGCAGTTATTTGTGAATTGATTACTTCATGGTTACAAGTAAATTGGACAGACAGCGTTCTTACCTGCCAAACGGATATGAATAACCAAACAACAATTGTGAAGAATAATTTGTCCCAAGAGTGAAATAAGCAATTTATTTTGAGCAACATCAAGTGGATTGTATGAAAACCACAGACTATTAGATGCTTACTCCTCTTACAGCAACCCTACATTATTTTATATATTATTAAACAAAATACCAAAGCATTCTAATTATCAAACTCTGTGCAGGGCAGGTTGTCAAACACCTGTCATATGTCAAAGAAATCCGTTTTACAAATCGTTCAATTGTTCTGCACGATGAATTTGTGAAATAATAATAATATTCATTTAATATACCTATATTCTGTAGTAAGAGTTTAATATAGAAAAACATAAAAATAAAATAAAAGTGTAAAAGTATTTGAAACCCATAAAAAACAGGGTTGAACAAATATTCTTGACAAGTGGCGAAGTGGCAGTGTGTAAAATGGAACGTAGCAAACACTGAACAGTTGAAATGCGTTCGGAAACTGTAATTTACACGTACCATAAACATATTAAAATAATAAAAATTCTTTTTTTCCTGCGTTTCTTTTACCACGTTGATTATTGTAATAAATTGACTTTATTTTGACGTATATGTCATCTCTATACATGATCAGGTCAAAAATGGGCATTGTTCTTTATGCGTTTTACAGATGTTTGAACGTCAATGATGTTTCGTGAACAATATACTAATTTTGATTTGATTAATTTTACGTTTTACCCACTTTTTTGGGGAACGTGGCCTAACCTGCTATTTTACGAATGACGAGACAAAAAATAAAGTCATTTCGCGAGTGTAAGATGCAAGATTCGCGTGTTTTGTTTTACGTGTCACGCACACGAGTACATAAAAATATCTGTTTCTGTCGCGGTATTTACTAGGTGACGCTCTATCTAGAGAACAAATAAATCAAAGGTTGTGAGTTTTGAAAATTCTCTTAAAAAATTATAATTGAAAGTTTTACGTATGTCGAATTCTCCCCTCAGGTTGTGGAGGGGAAAAAGCCTTTTCTCGTTATTTTGTTTACTGTCGACGACCTTTGAAGCTGGCACGCACAAAGATTTATTTTACGTAGGTAATTGATATGTAAGTACATTTCGGCAGCGAAGAAAATATTTAAATTGTCGAAAAGATTTTCGGTTTATCCAGGGAGGATAAAATATATTTTTATGATTCCGTATTCTTAGCGTGAATCGGAACCCTATTACTAAGCCTTGACAGCCTGAAAATCCGCCCTTTCTTCTATGATTCTTTCATCTATCACACGAAACGATACATTTTCCTACTTTTTGGTCGACCTAATGTTAAATCTTGTAAATTGGACCGTTATTATCAGAAACATATTTATCAGATCTTTTATAATGAATCTAGCGGGTACCCTTCATCTACGTGCAAATATTGGTTTTCCGTACAAACTTTGAGCCTCAGTTTTACTCTCTTAGGGGATGAATTCAGGAAAATCAGTTCTTTGAGCACGCTTGTATCATAATAGCTATATGTGTGCGCAATCCGTTCAGTGGTTTGAGTTGTGCGTTGATAGATAAGTCAGTAACGGTTACCTTTTATATAGTACTAGTGGCCGCCCTCGCTTCGCTTCGGTGTAGAGCTGTAGTGTAGACTATAGTTTTTCTTCACAGGCTTGTATTATAAACAATGACTTTATTTATATAATAACTATAGGCACGGGCTGCCGGCCCCGGGTAACCGCTATGTCCCTGCATCTTAAATCTGGAATATCTTCAAAAACACTCATTTAAATTACACGCTGCAAAGGGCCATATTGATCTATATTTAATGTATATGTATTTAAGGTACTTCATTGGATAAGGATTGAGGTGTATTGCTTAAAATTGCTTCGTAAATAAGGCATTATTTCTCTTAAAAAGTAAAGGATAAAAAATGGTTATTGTGGGTTATCCCTAAGAGAT